CATGTTTCCGACCTGAATTTGTTTCATGTTTCCTCTACATGTTGGTGCGTTTGACGTTTGTGTGATTTGTTTGCTTTCTCGGGCTCCGTGACAACGTGCACGGTTGAGGAGCCTGAACAGCAGCTCACTCTCTCACCACGCTGTATAATCGTCGTAGATGTTAGCGTTTGTTGCTTCTGTTGTTGTTGCTGCGTTATTCTTGCAGCGTTTGAGCGTCGTGTTTTCTTGCTAGATATGCAATATATTTTTAATGCCTTTACCGATATTGTTATGCAGCTCTGATTTGAGCCATGTAGCCATGTGTACATATCTAGGGTTCAGTAAATCAACACTTCTCTGGGAAGCATGGGAGGTCAACTAAGGCACGCACCACATGCTGGAAGACCGGCAAACGAGGTTTGGAAAAAAAAGAAAAGCTGTCGTATCTTCGTCAGTCTTGCAATATCGCACTAGCTCAGGGGAATCAGGGGAACGCAGCACGCACATAATATGTGAGGTTTTTTAATGCCAAGCTATTAATTACACAGGTTGCCAGCAGCAACCGAACATGTCGGACCATATGTCTTCAACACAAACGACCGCTCCCTGAAGGACCTGCCACAAACCCAAATGGAGAATGGAGAGTGAATCTTGCTCGAATGCAGACTACATGGTCGGCAAGGCAAGATTTGGTCGCAAAAGCCCGCATTCCAAGCCTCGTATACCAATGCAAGATTTGCTCAAATAAATCACGCGCCCGTAAACAGCCTTGGAAAATTTGATCCGGAATATCAACACTACCCACCATAAAAACATGGAATCAGATCATCGGTTCATAGCCATTCGTGTAGATATCAAAGCGCTCCTCCATCGTGAGGGGACCGTCGTTTACTTCATTGGCTGTTGTTCCTTTGGGCCTTGGTTTGTTGCAGCCTGTCCGTTTTTACCTCCTTTTTTGTGCTGACGTGATTTGTTAATTCAACTTATTCTGCTACCTCGGCCGCTTATTGCAGAGGGGGCATTGTTTCTGGCAGTATCCTCACTTGTTAGTATAGTTCTGGCGTTTTTTATGGTAATTCTGGAATGGCTCTTTTGTGGGCGCTCGGTAGTTTGGTGGTTAGATTAATAAATTATGGCCAAACAAAACAACAATAAAACCTTTGGGTCGGATCAACTCAGAGCAAAATTTGTCAAACGAAAAACCTTAGCTGCAGTGAAGCTGAGGGCGGCCGACCACCGCTGGACACAGGCAGTGACAGACGCGCTGCGCAGCAAAAGTGGTGCAGAATGCGCGCGGCAGCGCGCGAAGAGCCGAATGAACTCAGCCGCCTCGGGGCTCCACCGGCCGCCGAGCTCGAGCGTGAGGACGGACTCCACCCAGCAACGGCAAGCCATTGGCGATGACGTCGAGGCGGCGGTCATCTTGGCAGTCGAGGATGACATTGAGGTCTCGCAGAACGACACGTGGCGTCGGTGGCACCGGCTTCACGGGGCGGACATGGACGGAGCAGAGCTTCGCGTCGCGGAGCGTCGCAAAAGGGCGGCCTGCCCGGAGTTGGCTGCCGGCGGACCCCAAAAGCTAGTCGTGCTCGGCTCTGAGGTGGGGGGGCGCTGGAAGGGCGACGTTTTGCGGTTCGTTAAGGACCCGCTCCGCATCCGGGTGTGCCGAGCGCCGCCAACGGTGCGACGCGCAACGGCATCCGGCTGGGGCCGACGCTGGTGGAGCATATTGTCGGTCGCGGTGTAGCAAGCCGTGGGGACCACGGCCCTTGGCCGAGCCTGGCCCTTAGCCTCCACGGTGTCTGCCATCGCGGCCCCGCCCCTAGATGTTAAGTTCCTTAACGGCAACAAAGTCTTGGGCAGGCAGTGGAAATGTGTCAAGCCAAACCTGACATGGTCATGTCTGTCTTAGTCAAAAGATGGCCCCATTTGCCTAGATAGGCTGGTCCGGGTCAGGGCCAGCGCGCCCCGCGCCCTCCGCACTGCTGCCAGGGCCGCCTGGTCGCGACGGTGGTGGTCCCAATTGACAGTCTCAGTGCAGCAAGCCGTTGCTGCCACAGCATTGGGCAATACGTGGTTGGTGCCTTGCGCCAGCCAAGAGCATGGCCCCGAGCTCAACCAGGTTTTTAACTTGGCCGAGTCGTCGGGACCCAGCCGATTGCCGCTGCGGTAGTTCCCGACTGCCGCCGACCAAGACACATGCGCTAGATGCAAAAAGGTCCGAGGAAAAAAAGAGGCTCTTCGAGCCCGAAGCAGGGCCCGAGCTCAGCCGCTTGCCGCTTAGGGCGTAGATGGGGGCGTAGGATTTGGGGACCAGAAGCACGTGCAGTCGCAAAAGTCCGGCAAGAAAAAAAATGTGGGCAGGCAGCGCGGTGGTCCCCGTACTGATCTAGCCGGGCGCGGCAGCGGCACCTGGCAGAGTCGAGGGGGAGTAGCAGTCGGAGTCGCCTGTGGCGGCCTGGAGGCGAACCTCGGGGGACATGGGGAGCGCAGTGAATACACAGGCTGCAAATGGGCCAGCTTGCAACCCAAGCATCGCTTGGAAAGCGCTGTCGATGGGACGTGGCATCGCTACCTCCTCCTCCCCCTCCAATGTGCGCATCCCATCCGGCCCGACGCCTTTGTGCGGGGCTCGGCCGTTCCCCAACAGTTTGCTGCAGCCAGCGGTCAGCCTTGCCCATCCGCCTCCTTGATTCGCTTGTGCACGAAACCGCCTGCGCGAGGCTTTTGTCAGCCTTCACGTCCGTGACGTGCAGATGTTGAAGCGCACTGGGGAACGATTTTTGTAAGACGCACTCATGGTGAACCCTGGGTGGTGTGTGGGGTGATTCGAAACCCCAGTGCGCTGGAAATGAGAAGGTTTTTGGGCGCCGAAGTGGGCGGGCGATGGAATGACGGCGCGCAGCCCCGTCCGTCTCCGCGCCCAGCGCGCCCCGCCAGCTCTCCGCCGCGCCGCGAGACAGCCTGGGCGCGCTGGTGAAGTGGCATCTTGGCAGTGGCGGTGCAGCAAGCAGTTGCCGGCACAGCGCCGGGCCCACAAAAGCCCTGGCACGCAACGGGCGCCGCTATATGCCCGTCTGGCCCGGAGTTCGACCAACTGCTGCACCTGGCAGCAAGAGAAAGGCCCAGCCGCTGGCCGCTGCGGGCGTAGAACCGACCAAGACTTGAGTCAGCAGACACAAAAAGGACCGAGTGAAAAACATGAAAAGTTTTGGGCGATTTTGTGCCTACAGCTTTTGCGTGATTCCTTGAATATGAAAGACTTGAGTTTGCACATATTGACTGAACTGTCATGCTCATCTTGCACTTCAGTTGATGCAAGCACGTAGAGTCTGGTTCAAAAGTTGCGGTAATCGTTGGAAGTACAATGTGATTAATCCGATTTATGTTGGAGATTCTATGGATGCGATTTTGAAATTTTTGCGACACAGTGTCGCACGCGGCCTTCCTGCGCAAGGCGCAAGCTACACCAGGTGGCCCCCGCCCTTCTACCGTTCGTGCGCTTGTTCTACGGGCAGCCTTCTGTTTACTGCTGGTGGGAGGCATCCGGGACCTGCCGCGACATACACCATGCGAACAGGGCGATGCCCTGGCCCCCGCACTCTTTTTGCTGGGCCAGCATGATGGCCACGAGCGGGCAGCGGCTGAATTGCAAGCGGGCACCGCGCTGGGCGTGCCCCTCGGTCACCCGGACTACGTCCGCGAATGGGGGCGCCGACGCGTACAGGATGAACAGGCATTCATGGACCACTTGCCACACCTTCCGGATTTGCAGTGCGCGTGGTTCCTGTTGCTCCTGTGCAGCAGCACGAGGGCCAACCACGCTCTGCGCAACATCCCGCCTGACATGGTGCAGCCTTATGCGGAAGCGCGCGACCGCGCAATCTGCGCAACCTTGCGGGCCTGCCTGGGAGAGGAGCTGGGCCCGGTGACTGGCCACTCGGTTGCGTACTCGTACCAACTACTTCCGCGAACGCGTGCTGCTGCCGACCTTGGAACCAGCCCACCGGGCCCTGCTGCTTTCCCAGTCCGGCCAACAAGCGGCTGCCTGGCTTACAGCAATGCCTGCGGACAGGGCCACCGCGCTCCCACCTGAAGTGACGCAAATCGCTTTGCGCCGCCGTCTGCGTTTGCGCTTGCCGCTGGGCCCAGCTATTTGCGGCCAAGAAGGCCACGGTTGCGGAAGACGGCTTGACGCTTGGGGGGATCATGCCCCCGCATGCCCGCGCACGGGCTACTTGGCGAAGCGGGCCAAGTTGGTCGCTGTGTGCCGCGAAGCCGTCGGGCCAGAGGGGCACGTCGTCCCCCAGCAGTGGCTAACGCACACCTCCGCCCCGGGAGTGCTGGCATCGGACTGCCGGCGCCTCGACCTCGTGGTGTACGGCGCCTCCCCACAGGGCCTCGCGTTGGGCTGCGACGCCACGCTTGTTAGCACTGTCACGAGCGAGGGCGTGCCGCACCCCAGGGCTGAGCACACCGCTGGAGTGGCATTGTTGGCGGCCGAAAGGCGCAAACACGCCACTTATCCGGAGCTGCGGTTTGGAGGGGGACAAAGGCTCTGCGTCCTGGCTACTGAAGTCGGGGGCCGGTGGAGCCGGGATGCGCATGAGGACTTTTTGCATTTTCCTGGAGCTATGTAGGCACTTTCGAGTTAAAATCTCTCAAATGTGAAAACTTCCAATGTCCCCCTCAGAGAGAGCCACGGGGTGGAGTCACATCCATTCACTTCTCAAAAAGTTCTTCATCATGCAAAGCACGGCACCTCTTATTTTGGCTCACTGTCAGCTGGCCCAACATGGAGAATCCAGGGTGGCAGAATCAAGACATGCAGCTCTGTTCCAACATGCCTCATAAGATAAACATTTAATGCTACACCAACACACACGTCACGGGAGGAAGGAACAGTACCTAACACTTCAGACTACCGGCTCAGGTCTGAGGCTGGAACATTGCCTGCAACGTGAACATGCCGGGTTTGTTTGTTTTGTGAACTTGATTCGACTGGTGCGCAGGCTGAAACCATGCCTGCTTTTCATTTATCTCCTTTGGTGAGCCACCGAGACTGGGTCAGCTCGGCCGCAGCGTCCTTGGAATGTCTTGTTCCTGAAGAAGTTGCAATGCCAAGCCTGCGCTAAGCCTGCGGAGAAGTTGGAACATGTGAGGAACAGCGCCTGTTTGCGCTCCTAAAGACCGGCCAGCCTTCACCAGTCTCATTCTCGTCGCCAATGTGCGCGTCACGGAGACAGGCCAGCTGTGCCAACAGGAAGATCTCTTGTAAAGTTTTCATGGCCAAATGCAGGAAGTGAAAGTCAAAGCCAAGCCAATGGCCTCATCAAAAATCACTGTCGCAATCGTGGCTCCAGGCCAGATGTGCTCGGCAGTTTATATAATCTCGTGATGAGCAAGGCCCCTTATGTAGCTGTAGAAAGCATATAACATTTCCAATTACTGCGAAATCGGTATGGTTTTGGGCGTGGAACGGTTTTTTTTTCAAGGAGAATGGGAAGTGTGAGGCCCCTCCTCTTGGATTCGACAGGTGCCGGTACGGGCATCAACGGGGCAGTCTATTCTGAGCTAGCACGCAGCCCGTCTTTTAAGGCACGGGCATGTCAACTTGGAAGGTTGGTGCTTGCTGGCAGCTGCGTGAGGTGGATGTCATCGGGCGGTCGAGGGCACCCTATGATATTTATCCGCGACTTTCTCAGCAAGACATATCGTATCGTCCACTTTCAATCATTGAGCGGGTTATGCAGGTAGGCGTTGCTTTAAGGCCATGCTGGCCTCAGGGCGCGCCCGCGCCCAACCTGCAGAGCTTTGCAGAGGAGGACGCAGCTTTTGGAAGCAACCTCTAATTTTTCAGGTCCTTGTATTAGGATAAAATTAAATGGAAACTACTATATCATATAGGGGTAACGTAGGATAATGGAAATAGTGGAAGAGCAAGTGGAAACTACAAAGTTTAGTATATAGGGGTTTTATATATGGCCATATATGGATAATGCAAATAATGGAAAATAAAATGGAAACTACTATACTTTATAGGGGTTATATAATGTGTTTCAAGCAGGTGCTGGAGACCGGAGCACACCGGGATGCCCAGGCTCTTGTCTTTGGCTCACGTGGTGGGCAAGTGGCCGGAGCCTTGGAACGCCAATCTTATTAGTAGTTTCCATTTTATTTTCCATTATTCCACTATATAGCCCTATATAAAACCCCTATACAACATAGTTAGTAGTTTCCGCTTTATTTTTTGACTATCCATCCGCGACCGGGAGAGCCCCCCTCTCAGGTGGCAGGAATCAAGAGTCTTCAGAACCCTCATGCCAACTGAGGTTCTTCCACATATGTGGCAGGCGGAGGCCGACGGAGACCCCATGTCAAGAGTATGCTAGAGGGGTCGATTCTCTTCCTTGGCAGGGCGGGGATCGCACGAGTGAGATTCCACTATTTTTTGCGGTTGCCAGGCACAGGGCCTGGTTCCTCCTGTGCCCCCAGTCATGACCCGAGCACTGCTGTACCTTGCAGTAAGCTGTCCCAAGATGCTATCATGCTGTGACTTTCGAGGCTGTGGTCATCAACGGTGGATGCGTAGTTGCCTCATGCCGGTGCTGGGTGGCCTTATTTTCCTTTAGTCTGTCGTAACGGTTCACTAAGGCCATGAACTTGCCAACTCCCGTGTTCTGGCCAGACTCAGCTGTGACCTTCCTCCTCATTGGAGGGAACGACAACTTCAGGCTAGTTTGGCATCGCTGCAGAAGGAAAACCACCTTAACATGTCGAACAGAGATGACATGCCTGGTCGCAGCGAGATGCGGGCCGTGATGGCAGGGGAAGCCTCACGATGGAGGAATATGTCGCGGAGACGAGGCGAGATTGACATTTGGCAGTCTGGTTGCGCAGCCTTTGGAGAAGCTTTGCAGGAGCTATGTCCCGCCTGGCAATCAGACAACTGCCATCTTGTCTGTGAACGACTCTTGGCAAAGACATTTTTCTATTTGGAGCTCAGCTGGCCTAGCTGGCAGACGGACATTTTCAGGAGATGACGCACATGCCCCAGCAATCCCTGTCCCGCTCTCAGACAAGAGACAGCTTGCAGCATTGCGCAAAAGGAAGTCGGCCAAAGGTTTCGTGGAGTTCTGCGTCTGATGCTGAAGGCGCTGATCTGCTGGAAGGCAGGAGGGTTCTTTCCATTTTGAGGCAGGTGACTACAGCTACGGCTGTGAAGCATGAAGGCAGATGGGAAGGTGCCCTTAGAGCGCCTTCGCCAGATCTTGGCCTTCCTTAGACAGGACTGCAGCATACTGCAGCATACTGCAGCTTCGGGGCTACAGTTGCCAGCCATGAATGTCTTGGCTGATTCGTAGAGGACGGATGGAGCGGAAAGCTGCTGTACACAACAGCTCCTAGTGAGTGGGAGGACATTCCATTTAGTGTTCTTCTAAGTGTGGCAGAGATCCACAAAGCAAGGAGTCCGGCGGCACAAACGCTTGTTGTGTGCAAAGGCCCCCGTGACAGAGAGAAGTACCAGGCCCAGGCGGGGCATGAGCGAGAAGAGCGCTTGCTTGCAGCTTCTCAGAAGTCCTTGAAAGGTCCCAAGACACATCCGGGAGGCTGTCCAACCGTGTAGCATCATGCGTCACACCAGCTTTCATGAACTTACATGCGCATGTCTACGCAGGACCTGGCAGCCGTGGACGAGGCCAAGGCTCTGGCAGTGCTTAGCGGGGCTCCTGCAATCCCCTATCCAAAACAAACCCTCTTCTTTTCGTGCCTGCAGCGTCGGAGAGGCGCTTTGGAGGGCCACAGCGCCCATCAAAGGACATCGCTTGGCTCAGGTGGTGAAGGCCAGGCTTCCAGTCCCTTTTCCGATGAAGCAATGGATCTTGTTTGACATTGTGGCCAGGTGTGCTAATGCCAGGATGCTTTGCTTCCATATCATTTGGTACGTAATTGGTGACGAGCTCAGCCAGCAAGCGAGACATCCAAGTTCTTCCGAACGTACGCTTGAGGTCGTGACTGGGGTTCCAGAAGACGTGAAGTACCGGATCCTGACCTGCTGTAAAGACCGGTGCTGCAGTGCATGTGCGCACCTCTCTTAGAAGATGCATCCCGTTCAATAAGTTCCAGGTGAGCACTGCAGGGGCCGGAGAATATCACTTAGATCGGAAATTCGTGCATGCACCGGATGCTTTGCAATCCGAAGGGCCTAGCCCTAAGCTTGTAGGGCACGCTACTGTGCGCTAGCGCAGTGCGGGGGGCGTCACGCGGTCAATTACGGACCAGGGAATATCCCTGAGAATTGGCCGGTGGCAAATCATAAACGTTGAGTCCTGCGCCCTATCCCGAGCACATCTGAAGTGTTCGTTTTACGGCGGCTTCCCACACTGGGCATGATCCAAAGCGAGCTAAGATGTAGCCGGATTGTTACCTGGCTGTTCTACAAGACCTGTTTTGGACATCCACTGCCCCTGCCCAGTAGGAGGCTGCAAAGCATCCCCAGGACAAATGAAAGTGTATGCCGCCAAGGCAAAAAGAGAGCAGGGGACAGGCGCAGTGTAGCGTTTTGGCTTGTTACGCTGTGTCACACGCACTGTCAAACTATCCTTCTTGTAAGATCTGAGTTTGGATCCCATCAATTTCAACCAGTTTCAAAGAATTTCTTGGACGCCGTGCTGCAAAGTTGAGCAGTACAATCTTGACAGGCAGCAAGGTTTGATTTCGCATGCTTGTCGATTGAATGCATCCAAGGCCGCCAGGATTTTCTGGAGCCTGAAGAGCAGGAGTTGAAGGGACCACATTTTGAGGGGAGTGCAAGTGGAGCAAGTGGGTCAAGTGGGCATGGTCCTTGGTGCATCCAATTATGCCCCTGCATAGTCGTGCGGCAATGTGGTGCCAGAGAACATCGCGGGGAAGAGTCTTCCTATGCGCAGTGCATCTCCGGAGAATGACCGGTTTCTTGGAGAAAAAAGGTGACATCTTTTCCCTTCCCAGGTTGCCTGCTGAGTGTAGCAGCATTATGCTCGTTCTCATTTGGGCGATGTTGGTACCGTATGAACCTTGAATGTTGACAAGCGTGCTCAACCAGCTGTTGCTGATGGTCAGTCAAAGCTGGTGCCGAATGTGGCACCCCGTGATGCGCCAATGCCGGGAAGGCGCATCTGCTGGCGAAGTTGGCGTTGTCATCGCGTTCCTTCCGCAGCTTGGGAATTGCTGAGGCACTAGAGTCACTAGAGGTGCCAGCGCGAAGGCGCACCGCACCATGGTGCGGCGCCATGCCCGAGAAGGGGGTCATTGGCCGAGACATCCAAACAGCGTTCCACAAAGCAGCCTGTGTTGTGGGCCAGGGCAGCTTGCAAGGCAGTCGGGTTCAACCGCTTGGTAGTGCCTAACGGGCCTAACCCGCAAGTGAAAGAGCAACGCCACTGTAGAATCTTACTGGTGGTGAAGCCTTTGGGTTGCCCAACTTTTTTCTAATGCCCAATACCACCGCATTTACATCGGAATCTGGGCAAAAGACTGGAGATTGCAACTTGGTGGTGAAACCATTTTGCCTTCATATATAGGCACGTTCACCGGGCCAGACACAGGGGTCGCAACAAGAAAAGTATTAGTTGGAGTCTTATTGGCCAATCAGCAATAGAAAAGGCGGGCTCATGTTTCTTTATGTGGGCGTGAGCCAAATCGACCGCTGTTGCGGTTGCAGGGGGCATTCTGGCTGGCCATCGCTTTTTACAGCTTTGAACCACGTTTTTGTTGCCATCTGCAGTTGGTCAATTATGCCATGGTATTCTTGCGTTTTAGTTTGCGCGAGCAAGCAAGCAAACACACCAAGCAAGTGGTTTGCAGGTGTTTTTATGCACTAGCCAAGTGATGGCAATGGACCTGGTGGATTGCGTGGACTCCGAAGCTGTCCATTGCAATTGCAGTGGATGCGCCGGACGGTTCATCAGGCGAGGGGCCAAGCCAGCCTTCCATCAGCTGTTTATGCAGGAATTCCATGACCAGGCATGTGTCGCATTATGCTGGTTGCAGACACTGCCGCGAGCTTTGTTACGGGGATGCCTGTTTGTTCATGCATTCGTTCACGGATACGGTTGGACGTTCTCTTCCTCAGGTTGCGGCTGAGCGTCCTCCAGGCGACGTCAGTCCTGCAGGCATGTAAGCCGGGTCAAAGTTGCAATTCAATTTCACCGTCATGATGTACGTAAGACATGCGAGGACACGCTGACGGTGCCTTTGCAAGAGTGACCTCGACTGAGTGAATGTTGTGCCATATTTGCATGATGTGGTGTCGTGCTTTAGCTGCCCATCACGTAGCCTTTGAGTTCTGTCGGTGCAAGTGATGTCCTTCTCCGATGGTTGCACCAAACAGAGTTGAAGGTCCTCAAACACCTGCATGACAGCCTCCATAACGTGACTGCATGTCAGTCAGGATGCAAGCTTTTTTTGAATGAATCGCAGCCTATGATAGACAGCTGCTTGAAGGCAGAGGAACGCATGGGGCTGGAGCATGATCACTTCGATTTCCGGATTTCCTGTGCCGAATGAAGGCTGTTGGACCTGATCGCGCGTGCGCTGCTAGGTACATCTCGCTTTACGAGCGGCCGACGCAGAATGGTCATGGCCATTTGCCGTCCGCTTTGCATGGTTGATACGGCGTGCCAAAACCCTCTTAGCGGACAGCGCTGCAAGGCTACGTGTGAGCGAGTATTATGGCTCCGTGTCCATGGGCAGTCCACCACAGGATTGATTTTTCTCTGACTTGGTGAGATTACAAGTCTGGGGATGCATGCAGGACTTTGATGTGGTCTTCGACACTGGGTCTGGAAACATTGCTCCGGGCTTGGGCAGGCTGGTGGCTTGCCTTTCACGTGTTGATTGCTAGCCTCATTTCAGGTACTGCCCACTTTGAAATGTGCTGATGAGGCTTCTCTGCCGCACAGGTGGCGTTTGAATTGAAAAGTGTGAGAGTCTTGTGATTGCAGGCATGCGAGGACCACCACCGTTTTTCAAGTGGCGCTTCTCGCAGACGCCCAATCATCTGGCAATATTGTGTAGCAAGTGGTTTGAACAAGGCTCTGTTGCCATCGCATGGTGAATTGCAAGCTGAATTTGGATTGTTCCGCCTCTACTGCACGGCTCCAGAAGCAAAGGGTACCATTCATGAAAATTGTTCGCAGATGGCATCTCGTGGATCGGTGGCTATGATCTTGAACGTGCATCCGACGTCTAACTCGAAGCCAAGACAAAAACTTTTACCAATGCTGACACGTTGATTTCAGGCCACCCGTGCCTATTTGCAATGCACCTTGCGCGGCAAGACGCACTCGCCCCCTACTCCGGAGGGAAGTCTCGTCCGAGAACCCGTGGCTATGTCACCGTGCGTGAGCCTGCCAAAGGATTCTTCATTGCAGGCTCCAGCATCGATGACATGAATGGAATCTATGCTGCCATTCGACCCGATACACTCAGTATACGGCGCCAGGTCCAAGTCGCATATCGAAATGACAGCAGTGGGTGGAGTATGGCACTCATGAAAGCACCACCTCAGGCTGCAAGTTTCAGGCGTCGCCGTCACTTGGACAGATCTCGTTTGCCTGCAGGAGTGCTCCCGGAGTCCTCCGATTCTGACGACGGTTATGGTGACAAATTCGAGTGGACGTTCATAGATCCGCTTGGTCGTGAAAGGTTTGCCCACAAAGGTGACACAATCATTCCTGGAGCAGGCTTGCGATGGTGGCATCTCCACCGTGAAGCCGGAAGTTTGAAAGTAGATCGCAACTTGCCCCAACTTTACTGGCACGAATGTGTGGAAGACAGTGGTGATTTTGAGACAGCTGATGAGCAAGAGGACTCACAAAGTGGTTCCTCTTCGGCTAGAGAAAAAGTCAGCAAGACTGCTCCGACCTCAACGGAGTGCCGTGCAATCATGGAGCCAGTCAAAGATGATGAGGACGAGTTGCCCTGGCAAGTCATTGCGGTGCTTGACAACAGTGTCATCCGTGACCTGCGCTACAGCTACAGACGCTACGAGAGAACTGTGGCAGCTGCTAAGGCGGGTACCAATCTACCGAAGCCGGGCCCTCACACTTTGGAGTATTGTTGCCAGCAAAAGCGATGTTGGGTTTACAAAGTCCTAGCTCCTGGAGGCAGGATCAAAAGTCAAGCTTTGGTGTGGTTTGCGGATTTGGTTTAGGTTGGGCCTGGGCTTTCTTTTGAACGAGCCAGCTAAACGGGTGATGCTTTTTTGACAGCAGAGCTGTGCAGGCGTCACGGTCCGCATGCAGCCAAAGGATTCTGCCAGAACGTGTGGGCAACGGGATTGTGGTCAATATGTATGTGGCACTGAAGTTCGTGGCCTGTGGCTCCACCTTGCGCCAAACCAGCGTCATAGTGAAAGTGACACTGAGGAACAAGTTGACCAATGGGTTTGTTTGCAGGATAGGGATGGTAGAGCAATGCTGGTGGCGGTTCAAGACTCTGACGTAGGCTGCTCCAAAGCCCCCATCGAGAACGATCCACAAGCAGACAAATTTGACCGGCCTTTTGAGCCTCGCCTACAGGCACCTGATTACCAGGCACCGCCCACCGACGAGGGCAATGCTGATCTGGATATCAAGAGCTTTGAGCAAAGTGACGAACAGTGTCCACAATGTGTAGACCAGCCACCCGAGCTCTTCGTTGGTTGCGAATGCGTTTTGCATGGATTGACGGAGTCCAGCAAGAATGGCCGTCCCTGCACAATCTTCAAGTTGCCTCGAGATGATGACCGCTGCGTGGTGCAGATGTCCAACAGTCAGATGAAATTGTCAGTGAAAACATCAAACCTGAGGCCTTTGAAGCGATCAAACGAATCTGAGAACAGTTATTGTGCCAGAATTCTGGGATTGCCTTTGCATGTTCTGAGACTGACCAGCATGCCGCCCGACTGCCAGCAAGGCAAAACCTGCTTGCAGAGCATGCACCCTCAGGAGATCCTAGCAGCAGCGCTGCGAGCGGCACAGCGCGATCTGCCAGATGCACCAGATGCACTCATTGAATCCCAGCAGGCATACGACAAGCTGACACTGGATATGTCGGCTGAGCCAAGTGAAAGGTCTGCATTTTATCCTCCGCATGCACTGGTCGAGAGTGGCCTGCTTGGTACGAGAGCAGCACATGCAGCAATTAATGCGTCAAGTCAGCAATCCATCAAGACAGTTGAGGCAGGCATTGCTGCATTGCGACAAGTACTCAGTGACGAGCATCGGCGCTTAGCCCGGGAAGCTGGCCTTGCATGGCCTGTGCCTGCGGCTTGCAAATCCCCAGCTGAGGGTCCCGATGCCTTGCGGCTGCGTTTAACATTGGTCAGGGCATTGCTGCGCAGCCGGCAAGAGGAGCAAGCCGCTCTGGAGGCAGAGGCGTGTGTGCGTCGGCACCCGATGGACGCAGCAAGTCTGCTTTGGGCTGGGCGCTGCTTGCTTCGAATTGGTCGGCGAGAACAGGGCAAGAAATACTTGTCAATGGCGGAGCGGTCCCCAAATTCGGGGGCTGACGGGGCTTGGGGACACCGCGGGGCATCAATTCGATTACAGGCGCTTGTAAAGGTTGAAAGCTGTAAGCAGGCAGCAGAGGATGCATATGCCTATGGGGACTTCCAGACAGCTGCCGCCAGGTATGGAGAAGCAGTCGTGCATAGCCCTACTGACGACAAGTGGGGCCGTGCCACGCTACACGCAGCCAGAGCTGCTTGCCATCGTCGAGCAAGAGACTTCCGACAGGCAGTTGACGATTGCGATGCTGCTTTGGCACTTTTCCCAAACTACGCTCGAGCACTCTTCAGACGGGCAGCCTGCTTGATCGAGGCCGGACGCCCGTCAGAGGCAATCAAGTCCCTTGAAGGCCTTCTCAGAGTTGACAGGGCGTGGCCCAACTTGTGTGACTGGCTTGTTCGAGCGCATGCTTTGGCAAAGCGCCTAGAGCAAAAGGATAACTTCAAGACATCCTGGAGGAGAGGTCGTCGATCGCAAGAAGCCACAGAAAATGCTTCCAATGCACGGGAGACTGATGGTTCCGACCTCTATTCTGTTCTTGGTGTTTCTGCCGATGCTACTGACCAGCAGCTGAAGCGAGCATATCGTCTCATGAGCTTGAAGTACCACCCGGATAAGCAGGGTGGCTCCACACGAGATTTCCAACGGATCGCCACGGCTTACGAAACCTTGTCTGATCCAGCAAGACGTCATGCTTACAATGAAGGGGCTGACCTCAAGAAGCAGGATGATGACAGCGAGGAGTCAGAGCGCGAAGAGAAATCCTTGCGGGAGGAGGTTGAGCGGACCCTCAGCAGCAATCTAAGTTCCCATGTCAGTGGTTGGAAGAGATGGTCCCCCATGTACCGTTCATGGTTTGTAGAGATGAGTGCTGGCGCAGCAGACTTGGGGATTGCAAGATGTTTTTGCCCGTGCAGAGCCTTCTTATCCTGCAGCAGCACCTGTCCGTTATAGCAGGAAATATTTTCCAGAGCGCTTCAAGTCCGGGACCCAGAGACTGCAGCATGCACTCTTGACTTCTTGGAGCTGTTGTTATCACATGTCTCTGACAGTACGACAAGGTACTGGCCCTTTGGTGACCCATTTATCGAGAAGCGCAAGTTGCTGGCGCAGCGGAGGCGGGACGCGGAGCAGAAGACCTGTGCTTAGCTTGCTGTATCATACTGCATGTGGCCACTCATTGTGACAGAATCGATATCCTTTAGAAAATCCAAGGTCGAGGCCAACGCCGGATCGCGACGATGACTGGTAGTGACTGGTAGGTGACATGGTGCATCATGGCCCCGTCTGCCAGAACAAGTCATTCTCCAACAAGCTGAATCTGCCACAATTGTTTCTCAAGTCACCGCTGCAGGTGACAAACTCCTTGCATGTAACCCGCAGGCTGCAACTCAGACTGCTCAGCTGCGTTTCTGGTCCATTTAGATTTAGCGCATGGCCCCGTTCCACGCATTTTCGGTGACACAGAAATAAGTGTCCCGAAGAAGCTCCAATTGGAAGCGTTCCGTATTGGATGCAAAGAGAGAAGGCGATGCGGCGAGTGTTGTTGGAGAGCGGCCTCAGGACCGTAATTGCATGCCCCGTGTTTGGTGCGGATCTCAGAAAAATCTATTGCAAGGCACAGCGATCCAATTGGCTTTGGAAGATGGCACACCGCTTCGACCTGGCGATGCCTGGGCCTTGGAGGGAATTTTGCTGGAATGTGCGACGTCGCCACGAGAAGTTTGCATTTCTCTCACCCAAGGAGCGCGACACAACAACCATCACGTATGGCTGCTGTCTTGGGCCACCCTGTCCCCAGAAGGAAGCTAAGCGTGTACATTGTAGCTGCTGCTGAGGTACTGGGAAACTGACTGGCGAGTATATTCGGGACGTGCTCTGCTTGCGAAGAGGCCGTGGGTAGCAGCGAGGTTTCGCTTTCCAGTGCTCTGCCCAAGTCAGGCCGCGGAGCGATCGTAGCTGAGAGCTCCCTCTGCCTGGGCCCTTGAAAGGCTTTTAATCCAAGTATGCAGTCTTCTTGATGTAGTCGAGTTTGCAGGCCTGAAAGTCGACTTCCTGGGTGTGACGCAGGACCTAACTTCACATGCAAGTTGTTTTCTCCTTGCCCCAACTTGTTGAGGAGTCTCGATTCCCTTTCACGGAACTTCCATTTGACGGCATCTTTGGCCTGGGCTTGGGTGGATTATCAGTACGGGACTGAATCTGCGGAAGGAATCGGGTGAACCATGATATGAACTCTTACCACCAGCTTTGGCTGCAAAGGCTGGGCCTTCTTTCAACTTTGTGAACGGCCTCGTGGTGAGCTCCTGCAGCCGAAGAGGCAGGTACCTGGCAGCATGGTCAGACTTGCCTTCTTGGAGGCGTCCAATCAGACAGTCAAGAATCCGACCTTTGCCTTTTTTCTGCGAAACCTGGACGTCGGCGGCCTGAGTTGCTTCATGAGCAAGTGCAGACAAGCGATCTTTGGATTGCCCTGCGACAACACCTGACTCCGTAAGTACCTGAGAATACAGGTTGTGCAGCGGCAACTTACGCCGCACGCCAGAGCTAGTGCTAGCACATTTAGTGACTGACACCGCGATTGCTGGCATGCTTTGCTGGCAGCCAGAATTGTGCGCAACAACATCACTTGTAAATGTGGAGGAGGGGAAGGTGGAAACACGCGCTCACGCATCAAGATGATAGGTTGTTCACCTGCTTCCTAGCTTTGACTCACGGAGTAGGTCATATGGCGTGTGGCTGCACAAGGACCATGGCATGCTACATTTTTCGGCAGGCGACGCGCTCGCTTCTTTAATTAAAGAATGTTGGGTTTGGGCCCAGCTGGGAGTGCGCCAGCACCCGTGCGCTCTCAAAATGGTGGCTGACCTTGATGCGTTGCACAAATTGTTTGCGGATTTCGTCTACGCAGAAAGACTGTTGCAACCTTTATCATAGATAATGGCTTAGAAGGGCGGAGGATGTGGGAAGCAAAGGGGTATCCTTGACCCCGTAAGGGTTGAATGGATCGCCAGAAACTGCTTGTAACTCGTCTGGGGTTAATGAGGCCTCTGCGCTGGATTGTTTGCAGCCGCCGTGCTGGCTCAGCAATCTGGCAGAAATCATGGAAGCTCGGAATAAGAAGCTGTGTTCATATGCCAGGAATTATGTGAGGTTGGGACGTGGTGCGCGGGGGAGGGGGTGGGCCTAAATCTACGCATGTTTAACCTTGTTGAGGTAGTTTCGTGTGTGCTTGGATCAGTTTGGCCTCGGCAAAAAAACACGGGAGGGGCGTGATGTAGCTGATGCTGGGGTCTAAATGCCCTTTCCCGGTGCTTCTTTGATGGCTTGGTTGTTGCGAAGCTTCCTCGCGCCCAAACCTTGTTAGTTTGAGAGGGTGCAGGGGGGGCGGCTGCGGGGGAACAGTTTTGGATGCCCTCACAGAATTTTTTTGAGGTAATTTTGGAAGCGCGCAGCCACCACTCTGGCGGGGTCTTCTCGGGAGAAGCCAGGGATCCCCTGATACAAGCCCTCCCAGGCACAACTTGCGCCCGCTCGGCGCCTCTTTGGGTTTTGGGGGCAAAGTTGCCGGCTTGTCCGTGGTTCGGTGGGTTGGGGTTTCCTGTTCCTGCTTGCCTGCAAGCCTGCGAGCCAGCCCTGTAGATTTTGAGTTGAAAGCCTTTTGTGCCGCTGGCTCTCAAGCGTGGCAAGGCTGATGAGGACAGCGAAATCACGTTTGGAGGGTTCTGCGGGCAAGTCTTTCATCTTGGAAACGGGACATGTCCTGCTCGGAGTAGATGGCAGGTATCGCAGAGACCGCTTAAAGGAAGAAGTGACATGGCTCCCTGCCTATGCCTGAGCGCAATTTTGAACGCAGTTTGAAGTTTGCAAATGTCATTAAGACACGCGCGCTTGGCCAAGGTTCCCAAAGAAGAAGCCGATGAAAAAGGGTATTGGCTCGTCGAACTCTCACTTTGTGGGCCGGTCACGAAGAGACTTTGTACCTGATGCCAGTCAAGCAGCTCAGGTGACGATGCGTGACATTTATGAACCGACCTCAATGATTTCCTTGTGTACAGCGCTTGCTTGCTGCAGCCTGCAGCTGCCGCTTTTGCCATCATGCTGACAAATTCGCCAATGCAGCTGGACCTGCAGACGGAAGGCTGGGCGCACTTCAGGGCAATCCTGCCGGGAATGAATGTCCTGGAACCAAATGCACCAACTTCACTGGCTGGAAAGCCTAATGCTGTGCGGAAGCTCCTGCAGGCGTGAGTTTTGTTGCGACGCTTCTTTGTCATTTTTATTTTGCTTCGAAAGCACGACGCCAACACACTTTTTCTGTACATTTTCGGATTGTTTCGTTCAAGATGTTTCTGCGTCGTGCTTCCAGGCCTTGCTCTCCGCTCGCTCTCTGCACCAGCTGGATTGGGTTGGCAAGCGTTGCTGAGGTGGGAGACAAAGCTCTGGGTCTTTGTGGTGCTGGCGGTCTCGGGTGCCAGGCAAGTGCAGTAAATGGAATGTGCTCGCAGTCAGGCATGCTCAGGAAATCGTTCATTGTCTTTGTTCAGGTCGCCATGGATACAGGGACAGCATTGATGATGGGTCCTCGACGAGCAGTGTTGGCCTTGGGCATGCGCAGCCATGTTGCTCGGAATGCAGCAGCACGCAAAAATGGTGGCGCTGTTGGGATGCCAATGCCCAGGTCGGCAAGCTCCTCAACGCCTTGGGAGACTGCAAGCAGTCAGGGCCCAGCTTGTGATGTTCGGCACGTGAAGCTTCATGTTGGACACCGTTTCTCATGCACTGGCTCAAGCAGTTATCTTGTTTGTCATTTCACAAGAGAAAGGAGCTGCACCAGTTTTTGCCCACCGCAGCCGGGTGAGGTTGGAGACAGGTTTGGCAGCCCATGCCACACCCTGGAGGTTGCAAGATGTCTGAGAATTCTTGAGTAGCATTTTAGCTGGAGATACCATCGTCTCCTATTTCCATTATAGTATTACATTCCTCCGTTTGGTTGTGATGTCTGGCAAGAAAGCTTCACGGCCCTGAAAAAAAAAGAAGTGCTAATGTGAGCATGCAGAACAGCGCTCTCTCATTGGTCCCATGCTTTCCCACCCATGGAGCAGCTGGTGGCTGGCTGCAGTCAGCCGAGGCCGTCAGCGCTGAATGACAGGTGTGGGCAAGATGCTGCTGCCATCTGATGCCGCCAGGCGAGCTAGTGCAAGGCTCCTTCACGGGACCCCAAGATGGGCTGTCCCGGTGCTTCTGGCCGCCTGCGCCTCACTTACCAACCTTTCATATATAAAAAGAGCAGAGTCTGCTCAGGCAACTGCCATTGGTTCACGGACCTTTGCTACTACAGCATTGCCCCGCCCTTAAGCCTGCCGCACCACCCTTCGTCTGCGTGAATTGTAGTGCGGTGAGAACTGTTCGCCAGGTTGAACGACCTGCAAGCCGTCTATTGCATACGGCGTCGTCGTCGGTTTGATGAGCTGGATAGGGCGCTTGGCCGACTGCGCCTGGATGTCCCACTTACTGGACTTCAGAAGGACTTCTTGATTTGTTGACCATTGGTATTTGCTAAGCCACTGCCAGGGCGAGCTGATGACTTTGAAGATTTCCTTGTTTGCAGAATCTGTAGCTCAAACTTTGGCAGAGTGAGGGAGAGGGACGGTATGCCTCGACACATCTAGGCAGCCTGAGATTTGTTGTAGCGCGCTTCCGCTTGAATTTACACTTTCGCGAACCTGTGCCTGTGTAGGACTCTGCTGCATCACTGGGTATTCTCAGGGTCATTCCCAAACAGCGTTCCTGAATCCCGATCTTTTCTCGACATTTCTCTTAGGAATTCCAAGTGTATGTCCGACAAGCTTCTGAATGTAGATTGTCAAGGTTCCCATCCGCCAGTGGGAGGCAGTCGATGGCTTCAACTTACAGGCGAGCCTGGGAATAAAAGGAATCGCATGACATGCAAAGAAAAGTGCTCCAGCAAATGTAGAGCAGGATGACATCCTGGAAATTGTGGACTCTGGGGTTGTAGAGCCAGCTGCGCTCCCCCGTCTCTAAGTGGCACAAATTATTTGATGCAGGTGGATTCGATTTGGGAATCTGTACATAAGGTGTTCTTGTGAGGGACGAGTGGAGAAAAATGTGGCGGGAGACCAGAAGATGGCGGCATGTCCGTCGAGGCAGAGAGGCACCAGGGAAAAAACACGGAGGCGGCTTGACGAAGTGTTGGCACATTCTGGCTACCGCACCCTGCAGTTGCACGCTCATTGGATCTCATTCACTCCTTCTGAGGGAAGGGTGGTCTTGGCAGGTTGGATGCGGGATTTGGACTTAACTCGTGGCAGCTTGGGTCAGGCATTGTCGCAGCTGCAGGCTCCCTTGACCGGCTGATGTGCGATCTTGGACACAGCGTCGCTTCACCAGGTTTGGTCGGATATAGAGCGAGAAGCGCGAAACCCCGGTGACGTTTACCTGGTTGTTGAGGCACTTGATTTTTTTATGACATGTGCGGCTGGAAGCAACTCGTTAGCTTGTGCACGGCCCAGGGAGACTGCAAGTTCGTGCCCAACTTCAACTCGCAACTGTCGGGAGCTTGGTAGCAGTGCTTCGCAGCGAAGTGTATGGTTGCACATGGCGAGGATCGAGGAGAGGTTTCAAGATCTGCCGGATGATTGGGAGATTGCGTGCTTTGGGGGAACGGACCTACTAGGTCCCAACCCCAAGACCGCGCCTTGTCAGCAGCATCAGCAGGTGGACACGTCACGTTCATCCCCTTTTGGCCCAGGACCTTGAGCAAGTGCAACAACACACTGTTGCACCTGGTCTCAAGCGCATGCACCCCTGGCTGCTTGTCGTTTTGGTTCGTGTATGTTCGTGCAGATTTATCAATGAGGAGAGTGAGCTAAACTTCCGATGATGGGCAAACTAGGTTCCGGATAGGTCCTGCGTATTTCATCACTGCCGCGGGCGCAAGGAAAGCATTAAGGCGCGGGGCGATGGTTCCCATCATACAGTAGCTGTTCATGAGTCTTGAAGCTCCCTTTTGCATCTCCCTTAGAAACTGTCGACTTTTGGCAAAGCCCTTTGTAAATGGGAGCGCGCGAGGACCTGCACGCCGCTGCGCTGGCGCTTGGACTGCCAATTGGTGGGCCGTTTTTCCTCCACGCATTTTGGAGAGGACGACCAGAAGTGCTGCATCCAGAAAGCATTGCGACTCAAGCAAAGTAACATGCACTCGCTTCTCCAAGCCCCCGCTGTTAGCATGCTCGCACACTGCTCCAGATTTCACCTCCAAGGACATTTTTGCCACCAGGTTGTACCCTTGCATGTGAGGCCGGTGTTTTTCATACTCTAGGGCAGGATTTTTAGCAACACTGGGAGATTGGAATCGGATAAGGGTGAGGGATGCCTCCAGAACAGCCAGGAAGCTGGTGTCCAGTGTTTTATCAAAGCTGGACACGTGTGCGTTTCGTACCCATGCGATAACCATAGCCACGGATCACAGACATAAAGCTCAGATGCCGGAGGATGCTACCGAAAGGCTTTTCGCAGCGACGCCAAATCTGCGCAGCTGCGCTGAAGTGGCAGAGGTCGGAATTGGTTTGGTAGCAGGTTTTGCTGCTCAGGTGGCTACTGCCTTTCTCCAGCCTTGGCAGCGAAATCTGTGCCAGAGCAGACCCCGACGGAAGCTGTGTTAACAGAAGGCACCACAATTAGTTTCATCTTTGCCTAGATGTGCGATGACACGATGCTGATTTTTGCTCTGCGCATTGCAGGACTGGATGCTGTGGTCGCCTGGTCCATGCGACTTACCGACAAACCGTTGCCGAAGGGTTCCATTGCTCACATTTGGCATCCTGATCGGGAGATTGAAGGTGCCTGTTAGAAGCAAGCTGCAATTTGCATGCTACTGTGCATCTGCACCGGAAGGTCATACCAACATGGTGCCTGAGGCCATAGAAGTGATGAATGAGACGCTTGACTTCGGGCAGAGAGAGAGAGAAGGTGCATGATGAAGATGATGATGGTGATGATGATGATGATGATGACAACTTCTGGGCAGCCTTGGTTCAGACTTGCGGCATCCAGCTTGGGTTTTGTGTAGCTGGTTCTTCCTCCTACTTGGAATTATGGGCGCGTGCGGTAGAACGCTTGAATTTGCAGTGGGGAAGCAATGGTTGGGAGCTCTGAGCTAAATTTGAAGTGCTTGCCCGAGCTACGAAAACGCCTGTTTGCCCGATGCCTCCAAGCTCCTGTCACAGACTCCTGTCTGTAACGGACCTCAGGGACTTTTCCCGGAATTCATTTCTGCTTGCTACGAAGTTTTCCCTTCTCCTCCTACTACTCCCCCCCACCCCTCCTGCTACAGCAGTGATGCTGCCTACTATCAACGTCCTCATCGTTATCACCATCGCCGATAGCCCCACCACTCCTAGGCCTGATCCCCTTTCTGAAACATTGACGTAGCCCTCCCAACCTGTCCTGGGAAATTGCTTGCAGGAAAGCTGTAGCATGAATCTGATGTTGCTGGATTACTGTCGACACCCAACATTGCTAGACCAATGCAGGGATCTTCGTGTCCCCGAAGGAAACGCCAACGTAAACGCGACGCTCATAAGCGCACCCCTGGCTAGACAAGCGCCAAATGACTCGACAGACGTGGAAACAGTTTCTGCTGAGCTTCTCCTTTCCCTAGTCTAGTCAGCTCAGACACATGCTTGGACACAGCTTGTGGGCCTCTCTAAGGATTGCCGCAGAATCAGGGGTCAAGACCATTTGCGAGGTTGGATTCAATGCTGGCCACAGTGCACTCCGATGGTTGACGCACTCCAAGGCAAAGGCTGGCCCGGAAGCCGGTTAAGCCCCAGTGTTTCAGTAGAAGCTTCAAGTGGTTCCCATGTAGGTGCTGTCCTTCGATCTTGGAGATCATCCATACTCGCGACCGGCTGCTATGTGGTTGGCGAGTAAATTCCCTCGGAAACTTCGACGCACATCACGATCATGAGCAGGCATGCCTGCACCCTTTCTCTAAAATTCTGTCTGCAAGCAAGGCGGCTAGATTTGACCTGGGGCGATTCACTTGTCACAGTGCCGGAGTTTCACAAGAGCCATCCTGAAGTCAAGCGCTTGACTCAGCTTTTGATTAAATCTCGTGCTGTGGCCGTGAGATTTTCGCAGCTAAGATGCGAATTGATCTTTATTGATGGTGGCCACAGCTACGACTGCGCCATACGGGACTTGAAGAACCTAGCGGCGCTGGCCAATCTGCAAAACAACCGTGTTCTGCTTGATGACACGTTTCTGGATGATGTTCGCCGAGCTTGGGATGAGATGCTGGAAATGGGATACGTGAAGGAGCTCTGTGCTCAGAGAGCTGGACGCTTCATGATCTAGAGCTAGGTATGCAACGTCTGTCTGCGTAGTAGCATTTCGTTCGCCCTTCATGCTTGAGGTTGCAGAGTTGGTCCGGTGAGGTGAAAGAGGGCAGCTATGGATTCACGTTGGGAATGTACACGGAGCGTGCGGCTGAACTGCTCGGGGCAGGCGCTCAAGAATAGATGGTTGCCCATGGGTTGAAAAAAGTCGATTCAGTTGCGCATTTACGAAGAAGCTGTAGCAAACACAGCTGTGCTGATCTGAAAGCCTCCAGGTATACAGCCTTCATACACATCAGGAACCTACCGCCCACCAGCCAGTTGTAGCGATTACTACAGAATGTTCTTTGAACGCCA